CTACGAATGAGTAATTCGATATCTAGGCGACGCCTAAGCGTAATTAGGTGGAGTTAGACATTCAATATCAAGAAGGAAAATTCACATCATCTTCAAATTTGATCTTCTCTCAATATTTTGAATAGCTCAGGAACTTTGTCAGATATTGAGTCGTGATCTATGAACTTATTAGCTATTTTATTGTTGTTAAGAGTTAAGTGATGAGTTATTAATCAGTTGAGTTAGAGTGTAAAAGAGTTTTAAACCGTTATTTCATTCACCATGTTGTACTAGTTGCTATTTTTTCTTCCGATGCCTAGGCACTCTTAGGTTCGTCTAATCAAGTTAGACGCTAGACTAGGTCCCACATTCGCGTTACGCGTAGCGTCTTCTTGAACCTTATTTATTTGATAGGGAAAATTACGCAAAGTTACCTTTGTTAAAAAACTTCAAAGTTGTATTACCATTTTTTGAAAAATAAAGTTGTGATGATTTTGAACAAACACCAAATTTTGTGGTTAGTTTGGAAAATTTCCCACCATTAAGAATCTGTTCTTTTAGTAGTGATGCCAATTTCAACTTGACTCTTTTTACCCCACATGTTTTGGAGTGGGACGGACATGGATATTTTCCTCGACGTTGTTAGCCTTGATCCGCCCAATTCTCGACCCATTTTTGATAAATTTTATATAATTTTACTTAAATTAATTATAATTTTTTATTTTATTACCTCATATTTTAGCTACAATGAAGTTGTAATTAAATAGGTGAGTAATATAAATACATGTTGCCATATTAAAGTTTGTTTCTTGTTTCTTGAATGATAAATTAATATTTCTAATATTTTTCTTTTAAATTACATATTCATATGAGTCGACCAGCTTGACTCGCTAAAAAATTAATTGACCCGAATTATAATTATCATTCAGTACCCACATGTTTATCCTTTCACAGTCTACCCCAGAAAAAACTACACATTTCTCTAATCTCCTCCAATGTTTTTTTTTTATTACAGGTGAAGCCTCTCCAGCTCCCGGTGATCGTCCTCTCCGACGCCTCCGCCGCCCACCTCGAAGGCCCCATCAACTTCAACGACCTCCTCACCGCCGCTGACCGCGCCACCACCTCCCTCCTCCCGGACCTCCACGTGTCCCAGGACGACCTCTGCGCCCTCCCCTTCTCCTCGGGGACCACGGGGACCTCGAAAGGCGTGATGCTGTCCCACGCCAACGTCGTGGCCAACCTCTGCTCCACGCTCTTCAGCGTGGGGCCCGAGCTGATCGGCCAGGTCACGACCCTCGGGCTCATCCCTTTCTTCCACATCTACGGCATCACCGGCATCTGCTGCGCCACGTTGAGGAACAAGGGCAAAGTCGTGGTCATGGGCAGGTACGATCTCAGGACGTTTCTCAACGCCCTCATTGCTCACGAGGTCACGTTTGCGCCCGTCGTCCCGCCGATCATACTCGCGCTGGTCAAGAATCCGATCGTCGAGGAGTTCGACCTCAAGAGGCTGAAGCTCGCGGCGGTCATGACGGCGGCGGCGCCGCTGGCGCCGGAGCTGCTCACCGCGTTTGAGAGCAAGTTCCCCGGAGTTCAAGTCCAGGAGGTGGAATCATCATCATTAGCTAATACTCTATTAACCTTTTATTCTTAGCTAAAATTTTAACACAAAGTTAGTTGCAATATTGCAGGCTTACGGTTTGACGGAGCACAGCTGCATCACACTTTCACACGGGAATCCAGCGAAAGGGCAGAGGATCGCCAAGAAAAACTCGGTGGGATTCATACTGCCCAACTTAGAAGTGAAGTTCATTGATCCCGAAACAGGGGTATCTCTCCCCAAGAACACCCATGGAGAGATTTGTGTCAGAAGCAAGTGTGTCATGATGGGTACGTAATTAATTATTAGTAGGGATTTCCTAAGGTACTTGCAGGTTTCATAGGTCTAAAATACAATAGAAATTACCTAATGATCATATAACATATGATAATCTTACGTAACAGTTATAAAAGGTTATTATGGAAGCTTTACGTAATGGAAGGTTAATTTACATAATGAATACTAACATTGCATTAAGTAAGATTTTAAGTCATTACGGAAGCCTTACGTAACGTTGCTGATTTAACTGTTATGTAAGAGATAATTGTCATTCGTAACCTTTACGTAATGAAAGGTCCTTTTACGCAATGGATATTAACCTAGTGTAACGTAATGTGCTAAGTCATTACAGAAGTCTTACTTAACGCTTCCAAGGTTACCATTACGTAAGAAATAACTATCATTTCGTAACCTTTACGTAATGAATGTGTATTTGTAAAATGTCATTACGAAAGCCTTACGTAATAGAAGGTACTTTTACGTAATGAGTATTAACTTTGTGTTACATAAAGGGCTACGTCATTACGGAAGCCTTACATAATGATTCTAATTCAATACAAACTAAAAAAGGAAAGGTTAAAATGAGGAAAACGGTCAAATGTGACAAAGGAAGGGGAAAAAAACAAAAAAATAAATGGGAAGGGTAATGACCGGCAACCCCTATTCCCATTAATTCTTTTAATTTTTTTTAATTATTATTTTTTTATCAGTGGTTTAAAATAAGTTTGATCAATTTTAACGGTTTAGATCTATACAAGTTATCAAACTTGAAATTATACTTAAGTTACCTTAGGAGATACCATTATTAGTAATACTTAATTTGTTTTCTTAAACCCCTTTGGCAAATGTATACATACATGTGTGCAGGTTATTTCAACAATGAAGATGAGACTACTCGGACGATTGACAAGGAAGGATGGCTACACACGGGTGATATTGGGTACATTGATGACGATGGAGATATCTTCATTGTGGACCGGATCAAAGAACTGATCAAATACAAAGGGTTTCAGGTAACAAGATTGATTGATTGACGATCCTATTCATATGTAGCAACCCTAATATCCGAGCACTTATATAGTTTGTCCGAATATCTAGTTAATGATTCTCGTTATTGCATTAATGAAATGTTTGGGTTTGTCTCCTGAAATGAAGGTGGCGCCAGCAGAGCTCGAGGCCATTCTTCTTACTCATCCATCCGTCGATGATGCAGCTGTTGTACCGTAAGTAGCTTCCACTACTCTTTCGTTTTGTGTATATGGTTTAGAGTAGCGTACATCTGGCACAAGTTAACTTCATCGTATGTCGAGTAACGTTTGATACTCATAAACTATTTTAATGTAAGCTGTAGGCTGCCGGACGAAGAGGCAGGGGAGGTGCCAGCAGCATGGGTGGTGAAGGTGAAAGGAGGGAAAGAAAGCGAGGAAGACATGGTGAAGTTTGTGGCATCCAATGTGGCTCACTACAAGAAAGTTCGAGTGGTGCAGTTTGTGGAGAGCATCCCCAAATCGCCATCGGGGAAAATCATGCGCAGGCTCATCAAAGATCAAATGCTCCAGAGGATCCGCTCTTCAAAATCCAATTAGTAGACATCCTGAATAAAGGCTTTCGCAAGTGTGCGTTGGATATGGTGAGTTGTGTATCTTTAGATATGCATATTGATGACGGACGTTGCTATGCAACTTTGGATGTTTGGCTATGATATGGATGTACTGTTGTGCAAAGACGCCACATTGCTCAACAAAATAAATGGCTTAGCTGGATTATTCTTATACTTCAATACTTTTTAGTTACTTTCTTTTCATATTTATCAGAAATGCTTTTACCTAAACCCTAATCACAATTGATACACAAGTGTAAGAGATTCCGGTTTTTTTTATAGCTACACTAATGTGCTAACATAGCCTCTTGAAATCAATATATTAATTAATATATAAGAGCCTAGGTTTGAGTTCCTATTCATTAGTGGCTCTAACACTTCTCCAAGTGCAAGTGGGGAAGTTCCAAGTCCTTCTTTTACCCCACTCTCCATTCTACAACATTTGTTTTTAGTTATTGTTTGCTAGGTTTTCGTCTATGACTTTTTGCACAATTCATCCCCTTTGTGTTTTGTTATTGTTCGTTAGGTTTTCGTAAATTGTTTTTTGCACAATCATTAATATATTAATTAATATATAAAAGCCTAGGTTTGAGTTACTATTCATTAGTGGCTCTCACACTCCTCCAAGTGCAAGTGGGGATTAATAGAAGCTTAGGTTTGAGTTATTATTCATTAGTGTGTCTCACACTCCTCCAAGTGCAAGTGGGGAAGTTACAAGTCCTTCTCTTACCCCACTCTCCATTCGCCTATGGTTTTTTGCAAAAATCATCACCTTTGTGTTTTGGTATTGTTCATTAGGTTTTCGTATATGGTTTTTTGCACAATCATCGCCTTTGTGTTTAGTTATTGTTCGATAGGTTTTCATCTATGGCTTTTTGCACAAATTATCGCCTTTGCCCACCATTTTGCAGCCCATCTCGAAATACTGTCGGCAAAATCCTAAGTTGTTCACCACCACCGTTTTCAAAGGCCGCTACCACGATTTTTGTATCGGGACTGAGTTTCATCCTCTTTAGTGTTTTTTCTAAATTAATTTTTTTTTTAGCATGATCACAATTGAACCCAAACACATGGGTACACTACAAGAAAAATGTTCTTTAATCATGGTAAATCCTGTGTTTAAAAGCATGTTTCCCGTGAATAATAGTTTTAGTCACAGGAAATTTACCGTAATATAAAGCTCTGTGACTAATTGTGTACCGTGACTAGTAGTGAGTACCGTGACTAATTGATTCCCGTGACTAGACTTCAATCACTAGTCACGGTATTTACTACATGTAGTCATTGGTTCCCCGTGCCTAAATACTAAACACTAGTCACGGTATTTGACTATAGCTAATTAAGATCACTAGTCACCAAATATTTTATGATTAATTATGAATTTTTTTAATTACTAATTATAGAAATCAAGTCTAAAAGTTTCTTGCCACTAAATAACAACAAAATAATATTATTATCAACAATCGAAAGTCTCATATCTTGTTATAAATAATTTTATAATGTTTACAATCTATATCACAATAATAGCTAAATACCTAGATCTCCTCAATAAGCTAACTAATTATTACTTCTATGGTTCTCAAGTGAACATCACAATTGTCTATCTAGAGTTAACTTCAAAATTTCATCCTTCTTGTACCAAAAAAAATATGTTCCATGGACTTCATCTGAGACATCTTGCACCGTTGTATCTGCCATGAACAACAATATAAAAAATTACCAATATTATATAACCTTGTATGATGTGATCATCTTCATCAATAGAGAATGGCAATATCAAACTTGAACTCAAAGGATGGAACAAAGAAAAAGAAACATAACAAGGTAGCAATATTATAATTGTAAAGATGATTTGGTTAATCAAGTATGGAATTCTCTCAACTATACTATTGATGCGTCAGAGAAGAAATCAGGGTCTAATTAAAATATCAGCCCTCAATGAAAAGTTAGTTGAACTCCAATCCAACTTCTAATACCTCGAATAGCTTAGATTTAGTACGCTTAATGGAAAAAACACATCTATAGTGCATGGAAGTTGAGTTTTCTACAGGGCTTCTACAAATAATGAGAACCAAAAAACAAGAGCCTCACAACTCACTGAATCAAGCACACAATCCATCTGCCATTCAGAAGCACAAGCAGAGCACCAATATATATCATGCTACAAGGTTCAATATGACCTTGAAATCTTGTATTTACAAAAGCCAAAGTGGTGCCATTATCCCCTTAAGTTGGCTTCCATAAGAAGCCTTGCATTTATTTTCAGTGACAACATGACAAATTGAGCAAGTGGCAGCTTTGTAAGCTAACTTTCATTCATCCACTTGGGAGCTAAATTCTCCTAGCAACTAATCTGGGACAACATGTAATGAAACTCATCCTAGTTCCAAAAGCAATCACCAACTCTGCAGTCTAGGAAGAAATTAATAAAAGTCTCCTTGGGGTGGAAGCAAACTAGGCAGAGGGCCTTTATCAAATCTTTATCTAGCATGACTTCATAACAGGAAGATAACCCAACCCAAAAGCAATAACTTATTGTGATAAGGTAGCAATTATCCAATATATTAACGAACAAAAACATCCAATCTATTATATCTATACCTTCTTCTGGACTGATTGTCCCAGTGGCTTGAATTTTTTATTCACTAAATCAATCTTCTTCCTCACAAGATACTTCTTTCCTCATGAAGTCTGCCAAAGCTTCCAGCTCCTGTGGCAACAAAAAGATTCACAAGGCTCAGATTTAGAGAGGCAGAGGACAAGACAGAGCTTCTCCTATGTCATTTTCACCAAATCCGGAATCCATTTGGTATTCGTTCATCCTCATTACGACTGAGCTTTACCTCGAATTACAGCTTCTCCACCATGAAACAAAATGTAAAATTTGTGCAGAAACCACAGTACATCAGCAGCAAAATGTAAGTACACGTATGATGTACTGGTTCTAAGAAAAATCAGAGCAGCCAACACCCATGCGGGAAGCATGTCTAACTACAGAAACATTCATGAACATCATGTAAAAGCATTGGCATTCAGTAAAGGAAAAAGCCTCACATAGACCCGAAACATTAAATATACTATCAAGGGGAAAACTTTAATTCGTGCGATTGCTCAGAACCCTCAATCGTCTCGATGCGGAACCCTAATTTTCCAATTTAGGAATTCAGCAATCAATCAAACATACAAGCCCAATTTGAGTATAGAAAGATGTTGTTACAAATCATTGAGGGGGATCAAATCCAAGTTCAATTGGAAGGCGAAAGGTTTGATTTAGAAAAAAAAATAGTCCACAATTTGATCAGTTACCCACAATTCACCCAAAGCTGAAATGTCAACCCCAAATCTGCAATTAATGGATGAAATCGAGACCAAACCATCCAAAACTCTTGAAAGAGGAGGAGTGAAAACCGAGAGAGCCCATCGAGAAGAAAGGGCCGAGAATGCAAGAGGCCAAGGAGGCCGGAGGAGGAGCACTGATGCGAACGCATTTGGCTGGCAGTAGCACATCTCTCTGAATGAATTTAAAAGGGAGGCGACGCTACAATGGTTCCCGATGGTGCGAAGCGGAGGTGGTGCGCACCTGAAACCGGGAAGTGAGGGTTTGTGTGGCTGGGTTAATGATTGGGTTGAGCATCGGAAGAAAGGCAGAAAAGGAAAAGCCTGTGAGTACCTGAGAGGGCATCGTAAGGGCATTTCGGGGAGCAAAAGGCAAGGTCGACGGTGAGGCAGGCGGAGTGGCCGAGGGTCGTCGGGGGAAGAAAGGATGAATGCGAGAGAGTGTTTCTCGAGGTTTTTGTCTATGGAACGAAGAGACTGTGGGTTTATTATTGGGATACCGCTGGCACTGGCAGAGTGGGGGTTTGGCTAAAACTTGAAACTAACCCAAAAGTTTTGGGGAGCGCCAAAAGTTTTACCATTAGTGGAGTCTGAAGCCAAATATTTCATGAGCCAAAATTTAGAACTGGGATGGCGGGGAAAAAATGCGGGAGAGCAAAATTGCGGAACTTTTGGTTTTCAAAAAGAGTCCAATTAAACAAGAATTCTTAAAAGACATTATCAGAGATGTGAGAATTTTTTGGAGCAAGTTAAACTAGAAGTTTCCAACTACAAACTCTATTAATTTCCGGCAGAAACAATATTCATTAAATCCATATTCTAAAATACTTTTTGATCCCATAAGTAGAATATCAAAAGTGTTCTTGTGGCTTATCAACGTATTGATATAATCGAAGCATAAATATCAAATAACCAACATATGCTACTAGCGTTGCAGTAAAATTATTGTCGATGTTCCTCATACAGCAAGCCCCAAATAATACATGTAGAAGTAATTTAGTTAATATACGAGGATACTTATGCCATTTTATTATAATTAGCAAATACTTGTGGAATTCATTTGGAAATTTCATCTTAACCTCTCGGAATTGCTATAACTAGTTCCAATTTCGTCGAATTCAAAATTTTAAATTGAAAATGAATTATTTCAAATACTGAACACGAAAATTTTTAATTTCAAAATGAATTCCCCAAAACTTATGGGATTCATTTATACTAAACGGTATGTTAGTTTCACCTAAAATTTTAAAGGTAAATTGTAACATTATTCACGGTAATTTACCGTGACTAACAATTAATCACGGGAAAGGAAGACTAAAAAACAGGCAAATTAATTCCCGTGATTAGAACTATACAATCAAATACGGTAATTTTTCCCATGACTATTAACATACTTCTAAGTACGGGAAAAAGTCCCGTGAATAAGATCCCGTGACTACAAACCTGATTTCCTGTAGTGGTATCCTAACTTGAACACAAATTATTGCCTTTGCCCACCATTTTGCAGCCCATTTGAAAATACTATCGAAAAAATCCTAAGTTGTTCCCCATCATCGTTTTCCAAAGCCACTACCAAGAGTTTTGTATCTGGACCGAGTTTCATTCTCTTTAGTGTTTTGTTATTGTTCACTAGGTTTTCGTCTATGGCTTTTTGCACAAATAATCATATTTGCCCACCATTTTGCAGCCCATCTCGAAATATTGTCTGTGAAATCCTAAGTTGTTCCCCACCATCCTTTCCCAAGACCGCTACCACAAGTTTTGAATCAAGAACGAGTTTCATCCTCTTTAGTGTTTTTTTTTCCTTTTTATTGAGCATGATCACAATTGAACCCAAATCCATGGGTATCCAACCTAATTCGATCCAGTCAAAGCCACTTGAAACCAACTTTAGCATTTATAAATTTCTTTTTTCTTCTTCTTTTGGTTGGGAAGACAATTGAACTCGAATCTAAGGTTTTGACGATTGTTGTATTGTGAGCGAGCTTTATTAGCCTTTGTAGTTGGCAGGTTGGACCAAGTGTTAATTTGTTAAAAATTTTATTCAAAGCGAGTTGAACACGTTGTTGAAAAGTTTTAGATCGAAAGCGAGTTTTGTACGCTTTAATTTTTTTTTATTTCTCATTTTCCTTTTCGTTGAGAATGGCAATTGAACTCTGACCCATCGTTGACACGTTTTGTATCGCGAGCGAGTTTTATCCACTTTTGTAATTAACATGTTGGGTAAATTGTGAATTTGTTAAAACTGGGTCGACCCGGTCAAAGCGAGTTGAACGCAGTGTTGAGAGTTTGGGGTCGTGAGTGAGTTTTATCCGCTTTAGTATTTTTTTATCTTTTTCCTTTTGGTTGAGAATGACAATTGAGTTTAAACGCATCGGTATACAACCTAATTCGACCCGACCAAAGCGACTTGAACCCGATTTTACAGGTTTTCGGCGGGAATGAGTTTTATTTGTTTTTGTAATTGTCGTGTTGTGTCATGTGTGAGTTTGTCCATAACTCGGTCCAACCAGGGCAAAGCTAACCTAGTGTTGACGAGTTTTGAGTCTGTAGCGCGTTTTAGCTTTAGTGTTTTTCATTTCACTTTTTCCTTTTGTTTGATTAAGACAATTGAACCCAAATCTATGGATATCTAACCTAATTTGACCTGATCAATGTGAGTTGAACCTCCTCAAACCAGCAATCAGTCCAAAAATTTCATAAAGGAGAACCACGATTATCTCAAACCTAAAAGAAATAAAGTCATACAAATTGAAACGTTAGCATCATGATAGAAGTTTAAAAATTAATAATCTATTCGACGACCCCTTTACCTTATGCCAGTCCATCGACCATATGCTATTGTAAATAACAAACTATGAAAAGAATGATTAGCAATGAAATAAGATGACTTTCACTTTTTGGTCAACATTAAAATTATTAGTTTTTTAAATATTTATCTTTGTAATACGCGAAGCGATAGCGAGCGGGCTTTTACTAGTATTAATGAAAACAAAATACTAAATAGCATCCTCCTTGACAAAAGGCGAAGTAGACCATCTTGCTATATAGTTGTCAGAAGAACATAATGGCTTGAAGTATCTTTCTTCCTAATTCATAATACCAACTAAATAAAGTATATCTTTGCAATCGACACAAATATTAAGATTAAATTTCAACAAGAAATTTATGAATTAGGAACAAGGAGCTAAAAGCTTAGTTTGGCCCTGCGATAGCTTTTGCATAAGCAGCTTTTGATTGGAGCTTTTAGATAAGTACTTTTCAAAAAAACTAGTTTAGTGTTTGGCTGTAAAACTATTAGAAGTGCTTTTTAATATGAGCGGTTGTGTAAAATGACTATAAATGACTTATAATATAAAATATGAATAAAGATTATAAACAATAAAAATTAGAAAAAATGGATCTTGTTTCTTTTATATTAAAATGATTTTATAATTTATTTTATTTTTAAAATGATATATATGAAGAAAAATTATAATTTCTAAAATAAAATCAATATATGGTAAGGATAATCTTGTATTTTCAAAGCAGCTTTTCGCAGAAGCTCCAAATCGGAATATAATTATCGATGATTATTTGCTACCTTCAAAGGACTCCCTCCCTTTCACTCATATCTCAAATTTGAACGATGGTGATGTGGATGCTAGCTACCGAATTGGAGTTCATCGGCTTCGAGATGTTCCTAAAAAACGTTTGTGGAGGAAGTTACTAGTAGTGGGTTGAAGGTTGCATTGGGCTCTTATTTGTTCAACTTGATGTGATTAAATAACTACTTCCTTGAATAACATATATCGAATTATGAGCCCATTTTTACTAGAGTATTCTTAGAACTCCTAGGAGAGAAGAAGGGCAAAAAAAGGAGGTGGAGAACCGGCTGCGGTGGTATCAATATTAAGAAGAAGGGGAGGTAGGGATTATGATGGCGACTATAACAATCCACCCTAACATTTGTCGAACCACTCGCTACAACAAATTTAAATTATTATGACACAAAAATTTCGGCATAATACATTATACATTTGTCATTTTACAAACAATTTGACACAACATGCTTCTCATAACGTTTGTCATAATATCGCCATCGTCGTAGTTTTATTGTGACAAAATTTTGGATCGTTTGCCATAAAATCATAACTGTTGGGGATGCATACATGGCCCACGTAGGCTGGGCTTGAATGGCCCAAGAAGAGAGGATAGAAGGCTGCGGAGTCGGGCCCGGCCCAGCGGGCCCAATGGCATGGTGGAAGTTGGCCCATTGACTGGAAGGGGCCTTTCCAGACGGGTGGGGCCATGGCTCTGACATAGGGCGCATGCGACAGAGAGCCACAGGGGGTCCAAAATTACGGGTTTGGGGACCAGCTGACATCATGCGCCTCGATCTTCTGAACAGAGAGTCAGGTGGTCGAGGCGCATAGTACTTGGCCGTACGGTGCATTAAATGCGGGCCTGGCGAAGGGCGGAAGAGAAGGATGTTGGTCGGCCGAGCTCCGAGTATAAATAGTTGGGTTGGTGAACCTCATTTACTCAGGTTAGAACTTCTCTCTAGAATTACTATTCACTTCTCTCACTAGAAAAGTGTCCTGACTTGGGCGTTGGAGTGTTTACGAGCCCTGCGAAGGGCTCAAGGTGTTCCTGTGCGTGCAGGGTTTGGATCGCTGGCGGGACGCAGCGCATCAGGGAGAGGCGCATAGTTAGTTGGCACCAACAATTGGCGCGCCAGGAAGGGGCTTGAATAGAGGTAGTGGAGCGTGTGAGCGGAGTGCGTGTCGGGTCAAAGGTAACTTCGAGAGCCGAGTTTCATGGAGGCAGCTGGGGAGGCAGAAGGAGAAAGGGGGCACGGAGCAGCGGATGAGATCTCAAGGGAGGCGCCAAGTCTGTCTGAGGAGGCGCATGCTGGGGGCGCCGAAGCGCAGGAGATGGCTCAGTCGGAGGACGCCACCCTCACGAAGGAGAATCTCCTCCACATAATTGGTGAGCAAGATCAAACACTAGAGGCGCTCAAGAAGGAGGTTGAGATGCTGAAGAAAGGAGCGGACGCGGCGCACCACGCGCACCCTCTCGGAGGGAAGAGGAGAGAAAGGGAGGAGGACGATGAAGGGCGCTGTTGTATAACAGCTCTGACGCCACCTTGTGCCGCGCTTTTCCTTCCACGTTTACGGGCGTGGTATTGGATTGGTATCATCA